CCATCCAGCATCCCTACCGGCTCCTCCGCCCACAGCACAGAGCTGCAAAAATGCCCTTGGGGATGCTCATTAAGAAGTTGTGCGACTGTGCTGCAGCACAGTTTACAGGAACCTTGCTGAAGAGACCAGCGATAGGGAGGGGGTGAGACAAAACAAAGGGACGGGGAGGTAGTTGGCCTGGGGAACACCATACTTAGATCAGACAAGGGCCTGGGTTCAGAGGGGAGAACTGGAATTCACTGGGTAGGAAGACTGGGAACAAGTAATGGAAGAGATTCTCAGACAAAACCCCGGAGAGGAGACTAGAACTGCCTAGGCAAGAAGACTGGGACTGGGGTGATGAGCCAAGAGCGAGGAAAGAGATAGGAATGGAACATAAAAACGGCCATACTGGGTCAGACCAAAGGTCCATATAGCCCAGTATCCTGTCTTCTGGCAGTGGCCAATGCCAGGTGCCTCAGAGGAAATTAACAGAACAGAGAATCAGCAATGGACTTGTTGAAGTTGTGGGGAAGAGAAGTTACTTGTTGGGAAGCAGGGACAAGAATCTGTTCCTACTAAAGTGCACTCTTCTCCAGAGACTGGAATGGAACCCAGTTTCTGAATCTTGTCATTTCTCTGCTGTCAGCAAATAATTGTTAAATCCAGTGGTAAATTCTCATCCCCCACTAATGTCCATATAAAGGACAGTTAACTACTGCTGTCAACTACTATCTTAGCTCAAGTGGCAGAGGTCTGTGCAGAGGAGCTAAAGTGTCAGTATGTTGAATGTGGAAATTCTGTTTTTTTTGTTCAAGTTTGCTTTAAAAAAACTTAGGAGATGTAAAAGAAAACTGTTAAAAGAATGTTGAGGTTGCAAAATCAAGTACACACAGATTTGGGCTTACTGGAACGGAAATACTAATTGGAGAAATGAAAGGTGTTAAGAATTGGGTTAAATATGAGCAGTTCCTGGGTATTTTCTCCACTAGATTTAGAACTCTTAAGATAGACTTCTTTTTATCTGAGATTACGTGGAGCTCTCATGCCTTCTCTTTTGAAAGATTGTGAAATTAAAACTGGGTATAAGGAATAAATGAAACTTTAGTCAGCTTTACTTTTGGAAAAACTTGTATATTTGGGTGTTTTTATATGGGTACAGTAATACATTTCTACATGTTGTGCGCTGTCTACTTTATAAATTGAAAGGAATCATACAGATACAGGTATGTTTTGAAATCATATAGATGCTCATTATTCTTTACAGGCAAAAAGTGCCATAAGGGAGCTGTTACCTAATGGACTAAGAGAATCTATTAGTAAAGTGCGCTCAAGTGTTGCCTATGCAGTTTCAGCCATAGCACACTGGGATTGGCCTGAGGCTTGGCCCCAGCTTTTCAACTTGTTGATGGAAATGCTGGTTAGTGGTGATCTGAATGCTGTGCATGGAGCCATGAGAGTACTTACAGGTATGTGTATATGCATGGCAAGAGCAGAGCAGTCGTCCTGTTTTTCCTTAACTTTGGTATTGTGCCATTTTCTCACTGAAGTGAAAAAAAGAAACGGGAATGGAAGTGGCACCTGTGTGCTGCAGAGATTAGTCTCCCGCTCAGTCATTAGTAAACTTTCTTGGTCGGGGTGTATTATGAAGGCATAGCGCAGGCCTGTGCAAAATAAGGCCCGTGCGTTGCATCCGGCCCGCCAGGCCACTGGATCTGGCCCCAGGCAGGTTCTCCTGCTTGCCACTCAGAAACACAGCTCTGGGGCACTTTCTCGTTGAGTCCGGAGGGGAGGGGGGAAAGATTCAGATGCTGCTCTCGCCCCCAGCACAATCTCATTGGCCAGTTTCTGGACAGACACTGGCCAATGGGAACTACTTGTTTGAATAACAGGCAGCCACAAAGCACAACTCTGCCTGCTTGGCCACTGTGCTTGAGTGAGTGAGGAGGCAGAACATTTTAAGCTCTTCAAGCCTTTAACTCAGTAGGCAGGCTGATAAGTCTCCTGGTGAGAACCTGCCTCTGGCACTTTAGCCCTTCTCTTCCCCAGCCCTCTGCCCCTCTACTCCACATGCACCCATACCCCCTCCCAGATCTGGCAACCCATCTCCTACTGGAGATCACAGTCCCCTCCTTCCCTATCTCGTATCCCAAAACCCTGCATCCCTGTTCCCTGCTGTAGCTCACAACCATCTCCTTCACCCAAACTCCCTCCCAGACTCCATTCTCTCTCCTGCACCCCAATCCTTTACCCCAAGCTCCCTTCTGCACCCAACCTCCATCCTAGATCCTGCATCTCCATTAATACCATGGCAGAGTGCTCCCCTCAACCACTTTCCAAAATCTTGGGAGTGGCCCCCCTGTCAAAAATTATTGTCCACCCCTGGCATAGGGAAAAGTATGTCATGCTAGGATACAGCTAGGAAAAAAAACTTGCAATATAAGATTGTATGTTTTATGTGTCTACAACTTTAGTCTGACATTTCTTCTGCTTGTTCTTGCCACCTGATGAGTTTGTATTTAACCTGTCAGATCTACTAAAATCTGTTAGAAGTAAGGTGATATTCTTGAACCAAGGGATTTTTAGCCATTTTTCTCATACAAGACTTACTATTTACGCTTAAATTGAGCTGTGGAGTCCCCCACAGAATTATGCCATGGCTTGAAGACATTTTGTTTACAAATAAAGTTACATTCTTAGAAAAATGTGATACTGATTGTTTTCCAATACATATGAGTACAGAGGCATGTGGAACATTGTAAACTTGCAATGAAGTTTCAAACACTAGATACTGAGTATCATAAGAGAGAACCAAATGCAAAAACTGCCAAGGGAACAATCACTTTTCAGAGTAGAACTAAATTTTACTTTCTTAGGATAATAGAATTGGAAAGGACTACACAAGGACATTAAGTCCAGTCCCCTGCACTCACGGCAGGATCAAGCATCATCATTCTAGAAGATCATCTCTTACAAATATTTGTCTAATCTGTACTTTAAAAATCTCAACCTCCCCTGATAATTTATTCCAGTGCTTAACCACCCTGACAGGAAGTTTTTCCTAATGTCCAACCTAAACTTCCCTTGCTGCAGTTTAAGCCTATTGCTGCTTGTCCTATCACCCAGTGTTAAGGGGAATATTTTTTCTCCTTCCTATATGCAACACCCTTTTAGGTACTTGAAAGCTTTTATCATATCCCCTTGGTCTTCTCTTTTCCAAATTAAACCAAGTTTTTTCTGTGTTCCCCATTAAGACCTTTAATTATTTGTATTGCTCTTCTCTAGAACTTTCTCCAGTTTCTCCATATTCTTCCTGAAATGTGGTCCCTAAAACTGGACTTAATACTCCAGATGAGGCCTAATCAGCACAGAAGAATTACTGCTCATGACTTGTTTACAACTCTCCCATAGCAACACCATTTCAGCCTTTCTCTGCTGTAATGGTGTCTGTAAAATCTAGCTCCAAGCTATTTAAGGCTCTAAAGATAACCACCAGTGCACTGAATTACACCAGAAGAAGACTTGAATAAGTGTTGTGTGCTTATGGTGAAATACTTGTCAAGTAGATCTCTACAGTTACAGCTTTTTGTTGTTTTTCAGGAGTTGATCTGTGTAGAGTGCACTACAGTGGTTTAATCTTCAGATGTCCCAATGAGCCTAATGTTAATGAATGCCACATTGATGTAAATTAAAGAGTATAAAATCACTTCCATTCTTGAGGTCGAATGGGATTGGCGTGTGAACATGAGAGATAATGCTCAAGTGTATGGGGACCCTCCTCTTTATTTTTTTTCTCTCTTCGTAGAATTTACCCGGGAAGTGACAGACACACAGATGCCACTAGTCGCTCCTGTTATTCTTCCAGAGATGTACAAAATTTTCACACTGGCAGAGGTATGGAAAAGAGCTATTTGCTCTCACTATTAGTAGTGTTAAATAAATGGCATAATGTTGTGTAGGGATGTCAACGACTAGTTGACTAACCAATAAGCAAATGCTTATCGGATAGTTGACCTACTAGTCCAGTGTTTCTCAACCTTTTTTTACACCCAAAAATTTCAAATGCTGTAAAACTTAACACAAAAATTCAGTTTTCTCCAAATTTCAGTTGTGTTGATGTACCCCCAAGACTTCTCTTGAGTATCCCAAAGGGTATTCATACCACTGGTTGAGAGAGACTATGTTAGTCAACTAGTTGCTACCACCCCCACTCACTGCCTCTATCAAAAAGAGGCAGTAAAAAGGGATGTGTGTGAATAGAAGGAGGTACTTCAAAGCAGCAGTTCCATGTGGAGCCTGAGATCAGTGGGGGAGTCCCCAGCTGATCCTGGACTCCACGTGGCACTATCGCTTTGAAATGCCGTGTGCAGCCTGACACCGGGCTCCCAGTGGTATTTCAAAGCAGCAGCGCCACACGGAGCCCGAGGTCAGCGAGGGAATCCCCGACCGATCCCAGGCTCCATGGAGTGCTGCCACTTTGAAACGCTGCGTGCAGCCTAATGCCGGGCTCCCCATTGTGTTTTAAAGTGGCAACACCCCAAGGAGCCTGGGGTCAGCGAGGGAGTCTCCAGTTGACTCCAGGCTCCAAGTGGTGCTGGTGCTTTAAACACCGTGTGCAGCCTGACTCCATGGCATTTTGAAGCATCAGCACTGCACAGAGACCCAGGTCAGCGTGGGAGTTCCCAGCTGACCTTGGGCTCCAGCAGGGGATGGGCCTCGGGCTCCCCACAGCACTTTTGAAATTGAAGTTAGCAACAGCCCTTGGGCTATTGCTACACTTCAAAGGTGGAGGCGCCCTATTGTGTAATTGAATAGTTGATGTAAATAGCATCGCCTATTCGATTAGTCAGTTACTGGAAATTTAACATCCCTAATGTTGTACCGGTTAGTAAGTTAGTCAGGTGTCTGTCAGCTCTGATGGCATAAAGCAATGCAGATGTAGCTAATGTCAAGTGTATGAAAGTAATTATAAATATTGTGGTGATATACTGAATGCATTAAGCAGGTATTTCTGGTAAATGAGATTTCTGTTGGATTCTGAAATCTCTCTCCTTTTCTTGCAGTTTTGGTCACTTCAATATCTTACTGGTGTTTCAATGTTAGGAAAGTAGCTGGTGAATTGTTCAAATTTATACTGTGCTGAAGAAAGAGAGAAATCTGAAATAAGTGTGTTAAGGATGACATGTGAGCATGGTTAATGGTAGCTAGTGATTAAACATACTTTCACTTCCCTGATATCAGCATTTTTCTTGTCACACTTGAGACCTCTTATGTGTTTTCTTTAAGGTATATGGTATTCGTACCAGGTCACGTGCAGTGGAGATCTTTACCACATGTGCCCATATGATTTGTAACATGGAGGAGCTAGAGAAGGTAAGTCTGATTTTCAGTTCAGTTCATAAGTTCATTTATATTGTAGGAAATAATTTTTTGCCTGCTCAGAATCAACATCTGTTGATTTACATCTAAAGCTGAATTACAGCTTTAGAATATTCTTTCTATACTAACTGTAATTTTGGGGAGTAAAATGATTTTTTTTTTAATGCAAGGTAGAAAGTGTCTATTTTAAGTATACAACTCTACAACTGTCTTTTTTTTTCCCACTTGATTTTAACTTGTAAATTAATCGTTGGATTTACTTAGAACTTATGTAAAAAAAATTTCAGGTCATAAGTTAAGTGCTCGAGCCTGGGGAAGAAGGCACTATATGGTCGATTCTGTAGGTCCTCATCATGGCTGTCACATTTACTGAACAAATCGCACCTCTGATTCATCTTAAACTCTTCACCCCCATTTAGGTGTTGGGCATTGGGTGGTCACCTGGGTTCAGGTGGAATCATTCTGTTCTCCCATCATCAGACCAAGCCCTGGGTTGCAGTCCCCTAGTACTAATTGTGATTACCTCAACAGTTTTTAACTTGGGTTCAGACCCTGCTGCTCTGCTCTCAGAGCTGTAGTGGTAACTAAGATGGCTTCCTTAAGGCTAAATATTTAGAGCGAGGAATTTTTCTGAAATATTTATCTTAAAAACAGTAAAAGGGACTACCATTTTCAGGCTCTGTGAAGGCCCGTTTCTTCAGCTTCCTTCAGCAGAGTCTATCTGTCTGTCTCACTCTCTCTCTCCTGTTCCTCTCTGTCAGCCTGTCTTCACTTGTCAGAAGCTGTCCAGGATATCCCCTTCTTCAGGGAAGTCCTTAACTTTAGTATTCTTTGATCTCCAGATTCTCTACCCGGCAAAACCAGTTTTTGTGGATCTAGGAGACGGGTTTCTTGTTCCTTTTGTCTTAGGAGTGTGCCGGAGTATTCTTATTTAGATTTATTGTGCTGCTTTCTTGTTTACTCTACCCCAACCCTCTCAAATGAGATTAATACAGTCCTATACACGAATTTTCAGCAATCCACCAGAGTTATAGAGAAACTTTATCACACTGGCCTGGTTACTTCAAATATTTCTGAGATTTCTATTTATAATTAATACATTGATACATAACCGTGCCATGACTGTCAGATTGGCTCCATAGTTGAGGTTGACTTAAGTTTTCCTTGAATGTAAGGTGAGGTTAATTATCTGTACATGAATAATAGAGTATAACATCTCTTACCCAAAATTTCAGCAACTTTCTCTTTGAGTATGGTACTAATAACAAGGATGTTATTAGAATATTGCCTTAAGTGTGAAACTTGACTGTCTTACTTTTGGAGCCAAGATCAGTGCTTTTATAATATTGCAATGGCTTTTGTCTCTCATTTTTGTTATGCTGTCCAACAGAGAGACTTCAATTTTGGTACACCTAGCACCTAGGGATGTTGTGGAATATCCATCCCCCTTGGAGATATTGAAGAGCAGGTTGGATGGGCATCTATCAGAGAGATCTTGATCCGTGTTGTCCAACCAGTTCTGAAGCAGTAGCTGTTATAATGGCCACTGCTATATAGTGAACTAGCCACTGTCAACTGGCCAAATAGCCACATTATTCAAGCCAACTAGTAACACTCCACCATCCAAATAGTCACATGTGGCTAGCATGTTGGACACCACAAATCTAGATGGTGCTTGGTCCTGGCATGAGGGCAGAGGGCTGGACTTGATGACCTCTTGAAGTCCCTTCCAGTCCTAGCATGCTATGACTTTGTGATTTACAGTGCAATCAAAATGCTGCTTATATACAATCCAGAGAAATCAATGCAGCAGTTGTAATAGCTGACATGACTAAGACAATTTTTTAAAAGATTCATCTGCTTTGCAATTATTGATAGCTTCCACACTTTGGGAAGCCAGTCATTCAGTTATTATGAAGAGCCACCCCCAGAAGCTTCATGTGACTCCTTACTTCACAGTTGTTGTCATAAGCCTCTATTTTGTTTTGGACAACATGTCCGTATAACTTCCATTGCTGTCTGTGAACTTCAGCTTTGAATAGCACGTATGTAAAATTACCGAGTTATTGTTAACTATCCTTTTGTTCTGATTGTACAGCACCTAGAACACTAAGAAGCCTGAGTGTTATGCTAATTCTCAGGGCTTGACAAACTGCGGCAAGAGTTACTCACCAGCCCCGCACTGCGCATGCGCCAGACTGGCACTGCGCATGCACGCAGCACCGGTGAATGTGGTGCATGGAGCGACTGGCTGAAATCTACTCGCCACAGGCGAGTAGAATCAGCGGTTTGTCAAGCCCTGCTAATTCTAATATATAGATTTCAGTACTAGTTGTATTTGTTTTGCCTAGGGTGCAGCCAAGGTCCTGATATTTCCTGTAGTGCAGCAGTTCACAGAGGCCTTTGTTCAAGCTCTACAGATGCCTGATGGCCCTACATCTGACAGTGGATTTAAGATGGAGGTCTTAAAGGTAAGTACATGGTGCGGTACAGTAATAATTCATACCCACATATATGTTCTGTCTTAACACTGTGACAGAAAAGCAAGGCTAATGTCACCCTTGTTAGTATTACACATTTTGAATGACTCCATCTTATCTGAATGAGTTGTAGATGTGTCTGATTAGAACCCAGACATCTGTCTTTATTAGCTACTGACTCAGGTGTGTACGCGCACATGCATGAGAGAGAGAGAGAGAGAGAGAACGAACTGTAGCTTGTCTCTATAACAGCAAACAAATAGGTAGTGGGTTCTTAATTTTGCTTGTTGGTTAGTAGGTATATTAATACAGACTAAGAATGTCTCTTTTTTTATTTGAATTTTCACAACAGTTTGCCAGTATATTGTGACAGCTTTTTTTATTACAGCCAGGAACCCTGTGTGTTCCATGATTCCAAGGCTGTGCTATTCATTTCTTGTGGCAGAATTATACTACAAAATGTTTTAATTAAAAAAAAAAAATCTAGTCCTTATGAAAGAGAATAGTGAAAACATGAACTGAGTGTAAACTGATGGCATTTTTTTCCTGAGTTTGCAAATAGTTTGGATCCAGTACCTCAGAGATCTGACCTGCCTCACTATTCCTAGTCATGCTGCTACAGATTCTGTGGTTCATTGTCTGGGTATACTGACATATTTCCAAGATGCTGTGGAAGTTGCAATTTGGCTGTTTTGAGTGTTGGACGTTTTGTCTCTGCCCTGCTACATTTAACATCCCTAAAAGGGACATGGGATTTCATTGGGACTGTCTTATTTCACAGTTTGTGATGTACAGCTGTGAAATTAGTCAGCACTAGTAGTACATATAAAGCACTTGTTTCCCGTCAAAGTTTGTGTTCATTTTTTGACCTTTCAGTCGTCACCATTTCTGATTACACTGAAGTGTTCATTAGTATATAGGGTTTGTTAGATAGCGACTCAAGAATCTAAGCTTTCATATATAGTCGACCCCCACACCTACAACCTAATTGGTTCCTGGAAAAACGTTGCAAGTCAAACCGTCGTAAGTCGAACCCTTATTTCCCATAAGTGCGATGTTAGAAATGGCTCCATTCTTGAAAACCCATTTCATACCCTAAAAATACCAAAATTGACTACGGAAATAGAGGAAAACTAAGTTCAAAGAATGCACAAAAATAACTAAAAAGCAAAGACAAGCAGCAGCTGCAGACTGGCAAGTCTGATTGACCTTGTGCGTTTCCTGTTTTGGGATGATGCGTGGAGTCTGCGTCGTACGCTGTCGGAAATGCGAGCAGCAGACTTAAATGGGGGGTGGGTTAGGAGCTCTCTTGCATGGGGGAAAAAAGTCATAAATGTGGGGGGTTGTAAGTCAGGTGGTCGTTAAGTCCAGGGTCGCCTGTAACATTGTTTTTATCCCCATTGTTGAATCTTAACCTGGAAATGTCAATGTAATTTTTCAGTGTTGTCTGCAGACTGAGACAGTCTGAATCAATAACTTGAGTCATAATGATTCACTTTGTTGTTTGATTCGGAAACCTAAAGATGATGGTTCTGTCCTGGAAAAAAATTAAGAAAATACCGGATATTTAAAATGTCTGTTTTTTTTTCTAATTAGATAAGTTTTATTATTATTAGGCGTTATCAGTAGCTAGTTGCAAACTGCCTGGCTGGAAGACACACTCACGCTGCATGAATGTGTCTACCAGCCAGGCAGTACACAACTACATGGGGCGGGAGGGAATCCCTGGGGCTGGACTCGCTCGTGCTTCGTCGGGACCGTGCATGTGGCCAGCCCCGCTCCCCCCCGACACATCTGAGATCAAGTGTGTCCAGTATTTTTTTGAAGCCACCTGGTAACCCTACTTATCAGTTAGCAGCCAAACCAGTCTGCTTGCAGAGTTTAAAATGTTTCTGCCTGCTCAGCCATGTGTCTGAGTGAGCAGAGGGTGGCTGCCTGTTATTAAACAGGTAACTCCCATTGGCCCGTTTCTGTCTAGAAACGGGCCAATAGGATAGTGCTGGGGGCAAGGGAAGGAGGAAGCAGTATCCCCTCCAGATTGAGTGTGTTCCGCAGCTGCATTTCTGAGCAGCATGTGTGTCAAGCAGGGGAACCTGCCTGGGGCTCCCCACTGCTTCCGTGGGTCAGATCTGGTGGCTTGGTGAGGCAAATGCGGCCCGCGGGCCGTATTTTGCCCAGGCCTGCTATAGGCGTTCCGTTCCAGCCATACTTTACTTATATACCTAATACACTCTCATCACTCCTAAATACCTGTCAATTGTATACTTCTGTAATATTATAACTTAAATCTACGTTGCGTATGTTTTATATATGTATGCAGTGACATATGAATCGACCATAACACCACATAACGACCATAAACGAATGATAAAATTAAGTTAATTGGCTCATGGTCCACATAGATGACACAAAGTTATTTGTTAGAGGCTGATGTATAAGCAGCAAGAGTGGGAACATTAGCAGAATGAGAGGTCAGAGAGAGAAAAACTTGATGAAAGGTGTGATGAATGTAGATGATTCCCATGCGTGTCTTGACTTCCATCTGGGCTTTGCGTTACTATGCACTGGCTGTAAAAGGGTGACTTGGGGGAAACTGGGGGCAGAGCAGCTGGGGTGCTGCCGGGCTGGTCCCGCAGCGCCACCCCTCACCTGAGGCAGCACTCCAGCTGCTCTGCCCCCGGCTTCCCCAAGTCCACAGCTGCTGAAACTGACCAGCAGCGGATTTGGGGAAGCTGGGAAGGAACAGCTCCAATTGTCCAGCTGGCCAGAGCACTTCCGGGTTCCAGTTGGTGCTGGACTATCAGGAGTGCCCGACCACTGGATGCCGGACAATTGGAGTTTTACTGTATCACTAGAATGAGACCTGAGGAGTTCAAAACTGTACTCAAAATCTGATATTTCTCTGCATCAATTGCTTTTTATAATGTGTATTTACCATAGTATCTCAGCACGACCGTGCCATCAGAAATCCTTTTCTCCTGTAAGCCTTTCAGTACTTGCAAATGTTAGTAGAATATTTTAGATTATTGGGAAAAGTATTCTCCCGACGTGACTTGCTCTAAGTATTCTTTAATCTGAAACAAAATACAGGACTATGTAGCACTTTAAAGACTAACGAGATGGTTTATTAGATGATGAGCTTTCGTGGGCCAGACCCACTTTTGATCTGAGGAAGTGAGTCTGGCCCACGAAAGCTCATCATCTAATAAACCATCTTGTTAGTCTTTAAAGTACTACATAGTCCTGTATTTTGTTTCAGCTACACTAGACTAACACGGCTACATTTCTATCACTATTCTTTAATCTGATATTTGTGTGAATTTATCAATGAATTACTCCATTGATATTTTTGTTTTTCAGGCTGTGACTGCCCTAGTGAAGAACTTTCCTAAACACATGGTTTCCTCCATGCAGCAGATCCTACCAATTGTTTGGACTACACTGACAGAAAGTGCAGCCTTATATCCTTTTTCCTCATGGTGTGTGGTTTAAAATAGAATAAAAGAACTCTTGAAATATCTCGAGGAAGAAGGCAATTATACACAGTTACTGTACATAGCTACAGGCCAATTGGAGAGCAATCGGAGAGCAATCATAGTATCGCAAAACAAAAATCATAGAAAACAAAACATATCGCTGATTACATAAGCCTCAAATAACTTACTGCTCTTACTGTTTTATCAACTAATTCATAGATTTTTTTAAAAGCCAAAATGGACCATTGTGATCAGTAGTCCAACCACTTGCATTATACAGGCCATAGAATTTTACACATCATGCCCATTAATCTGTGGTTAAATTAGATAATTTCTTCTAGAGCTGGGATATCAGTAATTTCATATTGCATGTGTGATCTGACACCATAGCGCTTGGCCTAGGCCAGTTTTGCTGTATTGCTGTGTAGCAGGTCCTGATTGGTCTTCAAGTTCATATTAATCCTAAAGATTCTTGGGAAGTCTGTGGGCCAGATGAAGCTGTTATGGGTGGGGAGACCTTAACATGTATATTGTTGCTATAGAGAGACATCTAGCCTTGATTTAATTACTCCATGAGGGATAATCCACCATGTCTCTTGGTACAGTGGCTGATTACACTCAGGGCTTGTCTTCACTGCACAGAAGATCGCTACTGCTGTGATCTTCTGGAGTTTGATTTAGTGAATCTAGTTAAGACTCGCTAAATCAAACTCAGAGGAAGCCCCCACCAGCATCCAGTACTTCTCCTTTGCAAGGAGCAAGAGAAGCTGACGGGAGCATTTGCTCCCATCAGCCTCCTGCTCTGGGGATGCCACCAAGCTCAGCTAAAGGTAAGCCAATTCCAGTTGTGCATTCTATACAGTTGCGTAACTTAAGCTAAACTGCTGGGTTTGGTGTAGAAGTTGCATCATGTTTCCAGTTAGAGAATTAGCAGACAAAGGCACAGCAAAATATAACTCTGAAGTCAGAAAAATTCTATCTGATAGCTTTTCCCTATGCTTACAGGACATCTTAATCTTCTTTTGGATAAGCTAGATAAAAGCTTATTTGGTAAGGCCAGTTTTCCAAATCATGAAATCTTTCCTTTACCTTAATTGAAGAGAGCAGGAGGATCCAAACTAATTCTCCCTTGAGAAGCAGAGAATTCCATTGACCATGATTGTTTTGAACAATTTATTAATTGGCCTATTCTCAGAAAACTGAGTGAAGCTGAAGCAAAATGATTCATTTCATTCCGTTTATTAGAGCTTTCACTGCCCTTTCTTTTAAACGTGTTGTGGTCATTTCCCAAAGTATCTATTGTTTCTGAAAGAAGACACAACCCCATCTTCTGTTGTCACACAGACACACATTACTGGATTATGGTTTCAGCCTTGATGAATGGAGCCATATAAACTGGTAAATTTCCCTTCAGTATTTCTTGCACACTGTTTCATTCTTGCAAGTAGGCCCTGCATCATCATCTTGCACTGCTTACACTTGACACTCCCCTGAATTGGTGGAAATCTTTGACCAGGCATCTTGAAACAGAGTTCCTTCAATGGTTAAAACAACTTTTCACAGCAGTGGCTTCCTCTGCAGGCACAGAGGAGTATCTTCATCGTTTAGCATTATTCACTCAAAACTAAAAAATCTACTGGGAGTTGAAAAAGCAGGGGAATACTCATATTTGTTTCAGTGAATCAAAATGACAATGGGAATGGGGAAGCTAGTAGTAAAAGTGTTAAGAACGCTGTCTGAGGGCTTGTCAGTGTTGTTAACATTTGAAAATTAAAAAAAGAATTTAGGAACAGCCATCAGCCAGCAACTCAGGAGACTGCTGCAATGGCAAATGTGAAGCATTTATTTAACATTTAAGGTTAAATTCAGGGGTGAAGAACCTTTTTTGGCTTAAGGGTCACTGACCCACAAAAAATCAGCTGGGAAACCACACAAGTGAGAAACTAAAAAAACAAGACAAACAGAACCCCATACGTCACTGACATGGCCCCCATCTGAGAAGTAGACAGACACTCCCACTCCCCTTGCACAACAGAGCTTAGGGAGGCCTGGGCTAATACATTTTGTGGGTCCCCTAGGTTCTGAGGTGGGGCTAAAAATGAGGGGTTCATTGTGTATGGGAGTGGGAAGGCTGCTGGGAAGAGGGCGTTGTGTGTGGCTTCTCGGAGGGTGCATGAGCCTTACCATGAGTGGCTTGGGGGGGAGGGTCTAGGTGGGTTGGGGTGTGCAGGAGCATCTGGGCGGGAGGTTGGCACTTAACGTGCCGCAGCTCTGTGTCCCCTGATGCTCCCAGGCACCACCCCTTGCTGCTGCTATTGGCCATAATTACAATCAGAGTGGTGGGGGGGAAAGTGCTTTGCTGGGTTACCATTTCCCCAATGAGGAGGAGAGAGTGTGGCTGTGTGGGGAGCTGCTTCCTCCTCCTGCCAGGCAGAGCATGTGAGTCAGATCCAGCTATGGGCTTGCCTGACTTGGTTGTGAGGCTTGGAGTGCCCACCCCTGTGGGGGAGGAGTCATATGGATGTCGGAGGGGTTGGGGGTGGGGGCACAGGGCTCCTTGCTGTGGGCAGAGGGAAGGGGAGCCCTGGGGACTGAATCCAGCCCCTGTGCCTTACATTCTCCCATCCTTAATTTAATTGAATGAAATAGAAGTGCTATTGTGTGTGTGTGATATAGTTTTTATTATTTCTAATGTAATGTTGCTGTATCCGAAGCTTGAGACAGGTAAAGAGTATTATGTGCTATTTCCTAAATAAACATCAGGTTATCTAAAAAAAATTGCACACAATACACCTTTTTAGATTTTGTAAATTAATCAGATTTGTAGCATTATTTAAGAAATATGTTATCACTGGGAAATTTGATTTAAATCAGTGATTTTAATCTTGATTTAAATCAATCCATCCTGCTATGCTGTAGAGTGAAAACTCATTTGCTTTAGGAAATCACAAAGAATAATTTGAGTGGATTTGTTTCTGAATATAAGCAATCCTTTAGTAATTTGGAAGCTAAACAGTTGGGTCTTATTTATTTAACTGCTTGCTATACCTATGTGAGAACAGAAGTGAATTATACAGAAGAGGTAGATGACCCTGTGGATTCTGATGGTAAGTGCTGGTCATGATACACTTCTGTGGTCTGGGGAGAGACAAAATAGGGAAACTCATCTAAAGAAATGCTGAGTTTAGCATAGTGATCTACACATACTTCTGTTCCTGTATCTACTGTTCGCTAGCATGCAGGTATGGTGGTGGTGTGGGGTTTATAATATTGTGCCTCATACCAAACAATGGTAGTTTATTGATGCCCCAGCTAACATTGAAGAGTAAGGCTATTGCTAAAGGCCCTTTAGTTAAAAAATCTTTTTTTTAAATGCAATAATTTCCTCCTTTTTTAGAAAACCCCCGGCCATAGGTTTATTTTCTAGCTCCTTGGCCATGACTAACAGGACATCCAACAGAACCAGTCAGTGTTGCTGCTTAGTCATTCCAGAAAGTTGCTGTGAAGTGCAGTGTGTGGTAGGCTTTTCCTAAGGTGGCATAGTGTGGCCTCTGCAGTAGTTCCAGCTTTCACTAGTCCAGGAGTAAGACCAGCAATTATCCTGACTGACCTGGAAAATATTAAAAATAAAATCTGTTCAGTCATTTATGCTGATCCATGATTCAGCAGTCTGTTGTGAAACTTTCCCCTTGTTTCTTTGTTCAGGTGAAGTATTGGGTTTTGAAAACCTTGTGTTCAGCATATTTGAGTTTGTACATGCCTTGCTGGAAAATCACAAGTTTAAAAGTACAGTGAAGAAAGCTTTGCCAGAGCTGATATACTACATCATCCTTTACATGCAGATCACAGAGGAACAGGTAAGTGAACATGTAGAAGGGCAGACAGTAGAAGCCAGATCACTTGAGAGAGTGAAACTAGCAAATGAAGCACCAGAAATTATTTGAGTGGGAAGGAATCATGGTAACTGAATAGGTAACTTCTCTATTTTCTACGATTCTTAGTCACAGTATTTAAGATCAGAAGTGACCATTAGATCATCTTGTCTGACCTCTTGTGTATCACAGGCCACCAGGACTACACACTAAACCTGACAGAAATGAGACCAAAGTAAATGAGTTCCAAGGAAACTAGACTATTGTGTGCCACAGAATAGTGCCACAGGCAGAGAATAAGAGGGACCTAGGTGCCCAGTGCTCCAGACCCCCCACCATAACAGGGTACTGATTAAATGAGAGAAACTCAGATAATGCTATGAGCAGTTAGACCATGAGCCTGTGAGCAAGAACCAGCCAGCCAAGCATCAGAGAGATTGCTTGCTGAGAACCCTGACTCACCATACTTAATGGTCTGTCTCTCTAGTTCTGGCCATCCGCTGTGCTTCAGAGAAAGCCAACTAAAACCAACCAAACCATGTCTTCCCAGAATACATTGTTGGGAAAGGAATCCCTTCCTGACTGCTGCTGGTGATGGCTGAAGCTCTTTATCCTCTCCCCAGCCCCAACACAAGCAATTTAGTTCTTTTTCAAAGCTAAATCAGTTGATGAGCTGTTCCAGAGCTTCATCCTCTGATGGCCACTTTGTCATCTCTTCTTGTGCTGGTGTTATCCTTCAGTTTAACTAGGTCTTATCTTTATCTTTAACAATATAAACTCTTTCAGTCTCCTCAGTTCCAGTTTAAATTAAATTGTTTGGTGACGCTCAGAATACAGGACCTCTTCACTGCAGCTAAAGCCCTTACTGTCTTTTGAACTTCTTTGGGCCTATCTCCCCCCTCTCCACATAAGGCAATGGGGCTTGGATGGGCCCAGGCTTTGGCCGTGCCACCTGGGGTCATGCAGTAATTTTTGTCGTCTGAGAGAGGTCAGAGTGCAGTGAAGCTTGAGAACCCTGTTTTAAAGAATTTCTAGAGATAGTTGCTAACAGCAAAGTAATGGAATCTTGTGCTCCATTCCAGGCCTTGGAGGGAAATACGCCCTGGTGTGTGTAAACTCGTCTATTCCCTTTCCTCCAATATGCCTCAGTGCTATCTGTCCCACCACTGGTTCTTTGTTCTGTTCCATGGGTGAGGAATCTTTTTCAGGTCAGGAGCCACTGACTCATAGAAAAATGAACGGGAAGAAAAAGGAAACAGGACACCCTCACTGATGTGGTCCCCAGCTGAGAAGCAGAAGCCAAAAACACTGTCATGCAAATTGGAGTGCCATATATTAATTTATTATCTCTGTCCATGGGGAGCCTGGACTGCCACAGGCAGGGGCTGCTGTGAAGATGGGTGGGCTGGGAGCTGGGATCCAATAGCAACCTCAGCCCCAGAGTGAGGGCAAGAGCCCTATGGGCTGGGGACTGTTTCAGCCCGGGATTGTGCTTTAGTCAGTTAACCACTTAAATGCTAGGCAAACCTAACATTTAACCGGTTAACTGATTAACTGGGATTTTTACATCCCTAGTTTCTGCACCTGGTTCTTGCCCGACAGAAGGGTTCCTTAGTTCTCCTATCCTGGAATGGAGCGGTAACTGCTATTGAAATAGGATTGCCATCTAGGTGTTACAGGATAGTCCTCTCCTTTCTGTTTCTGCCTAGCCTGTCTTTGTAGCATGGGTGAGGTGGGAGGTTGAGTCCCCGGGCAAATGAATAAAACGTCCATACTGGGTCAGACCAAAGGTCTGTCTAGCGCAGTGTCCTGTCTTCCATAAATGCCAAATGCCCCAGAGGGAGTGAACAGAACAGGGAATCATCGTGTAATCTCTCTCCTGTCATCCATTTCCAGCCTCTGATGAACAGAGGAAAGGGACACCAGTCCTACCCATCCTGGCTAATAAGTATTTATGGACCCATCCTCCATGAATTTATCTAGTTCTTTTTTGAACCCTGTTAAAGTTCTGGTCTTCACACCATCCTCTGGCAACAAGTTCCAAAGGTTGACTGAATATTTCCTCCTTGTTGGTTTTAAACCTGCTTCCTATTAATTTCATTTGGTGACCCCTAGTTCTTAGAATCATAGAACACTAGAACTGGAATGGACCTCGAAAAGTCGAGGATTCTATGAGTCCAGTCCTCTGCCCTAACGGCAGGACCCAGTACCATCTAGACCATCCTTGATAATGTCTATCTAACTTGCTCCTAAATATCTCCAGAGATGGAGATTCCCTAGGCAATTCATTTCAGTGTTTAACCAACCTAACAGGAAGTTTTTCCTAATGTCCAACCTAAACTTACCTTGCTGCAGTTTAAGCCCATTGCTGCTTGTCCTATCCTCAGAGGCCAAGGACAACAATTTTTCCCTTCCTCCCTGTGACACTCTTTTAGATGCTTACACCCCCTTACCCACTACCTCTTCTTGTCTCCCCCCCCTCCCCCCCATTTCTTTCTTCTCTCATTCCCCCCCTCCCCCTTTCCCTATTTAGCTTAGTACTGGACATCCAACACTCTGGTCATCTGAAGTGGGCTGTGCCCATGAAAGCTCATGATACCATGTACATGTTTTGTTAGTCTTTTAAAGTGCTACCAGACTATTTGTTGCCTTATAAATACATATGGGTACAAATAATTAACTTTTCCTCATTCATTTTCTCCATACCTGTCATGATTTTATAGTCTTTTATTATAACCCTCCCCCCTTAGTGTCTCCTATTTTCTAAGCTGAAAAGCCCCAGTCTTTTTAATCTCTCTTCATATGACAGCCATTCCATACCCCTCTCGTGGGTTCCAGAACCATCTGCTCCAAGAAGCAGTCATTAAATGTGTCAAAAAACTCTCTCTCTCTATCCTGTCCCAAGGTGACGTGTACTTAATTAATATGGGGATAGTTGCAACGCTCCACTATTGAATTTATTTTTAGCTTCTCTAATCTTCCATAGCATTTCAATCACTGTCACTAAGCTGGTCAGGTGGTTGGTAATATATCCCTACTGCTATATTTGTATTAGAACATGGAAGCAGGAAGACAGTTGCTAATCTTGAATTTTTGCTGAGAAAAACTTTCTACAGACTCATCCCAACCCTGTTGGTTTAACTTCTGTGCTTGCTTAATGGACTATCAAATCGGGATGTTAAAATGCGTTCAGGTAACTGTGTGACCACTGAAAATTTCCGTGGTTACATGTGGGGCCAGCAGCCAGCTCCCTGCACATATCTGCTCCCACCTACACCCCTGCCCCCTCTGTGCTGTTGCCTCTGTATCAGAGGCAGCAGCATGGAGGGGGGCAGTTATCTCCCTGCATGTAATGGCTCTCAGCTGCCCCCCATGCTGCTGCCTCTGTATCAAAGGCAGCAGCTTAAGGTGGCAAGGAGAGCCTGCATATAACCATGAATGTTAACCGATGAACCCAGGCTCATTGGTTAAGTGTATAGATGGTTACACTTTCACATCCCTGCTAGTCTTCTGTTATGCCTGCAGTGATTATTGGGATCTGATATGGCTTTTCTAAGAGATTATTTCCAAATAATGTATTTAGTTAATTTCAGTTTATATATTGAGATGAGAAATTTGAACCAATTTCAGGGATGTAAATCTTCCTGCACAGCTGTTAGATCAATTAGTTGTCATGGATGCTTATCAGAGGAAATAGAAGTTATTCTGTTCTCAATAATGGTTAAGATGTCACTGAACTTGTGGTTTTCCCCCTGTTTTTGTTTCAGATAAAAGTCTGGACAGCAAATCCACAGCAGTTTGTGGAGGATGAAGATGACGATACTTTTTCCTATACAGTGAGGATTGCTGCACAGGACTTGTTGCTGGTAAGAAATGGATTCTGTCCAACAGACCCCAGTGGTACTGAATTACATGTTGGTCATTACAAATATGTATATTCAGCCTCCAGAGGGTGAGTGTCTTTGGACCCAACCCTGCCACCCCGAAAGGCAGCCTCCAAGGCTGAGAACACAGCACTGAAGTTTGTAGCAGGGGAAAGAACCAGGGGCTCTGGACCTAATCCTGCCACCACCAAGAGGCAGCCTTCAAGGCTGAGGACAGTGCAACCAGGCTGGGGGGAGAGGAGTAGGAAGTGTTTGTGTTGGGGCTATTTGTGTGTGGGGGGGGGAAGGAGGGGCTGGTACTTAATCCTGGCACTTCTGGGAGTAGTTCGCGCCCCCCTCCACCCTCCCCAGCCAAGAAGAGAGCAGGTAGGTCAGGAAGAGAGGGGGTGGGGTGGACCAGGTCCTGCCACCAGTCAGAAGCTTGCATCCCAAGCTCAGAAGGGACCTCCTGAGTCTGACAGAAAAGTAGTGGGAGCACTGTTCTGAGTTCTCCTGAGGTTGAAGGAATCCTTCTGGCAGCTGGCTAGTTTGAAATACAGCAACTGTTAAAAAAAAATAAAATAAAGTGTTTAAGATACACAGGGGTGGCCTGTGACTGTAGGCTGACTCGGCTGTCGCCTAGGGCGCCAGCTTCAATGGCGCCCAATGATGACGTCACCCCATTGACGGCTGTGCAGGCGGGGGCGCCAGCTGTCACAGTCTGCCTCAGGCTGCTCCTGAAGATACACTTGTACAAAGACAGTGACATTCATTCTTTTTTACCCAGGCTGTAGCTGCTGATTTCCAGAATGAGAGTGCAACTGCTTTGGCTGCGGCGGCTACGAGACACTTGCAAGAAGCTGAGCAGACTAAAAACAGTGGTGCTGAGCACTGGTAAGGAGGCAGGCAATGTGGGTAGCAACGATTATGGAATAAATAGTTTACTGTTTTGCAGCATTAGTCACCTAATGGAAATGAATTGTAATTTCTTTGTGGTGATGGCACTGGGATAAAACTAAGAGCTTGTGAGTTTTGTATATAGAAAGCAAAAATATGGAAAAATTCTTCTTTGGGAAGTGGCCCCGTGGTTTCTCCACTTTAGGTGCATGAGCACCACTGTGCCCCGATCAGAGATTTGTGATACCAGAGCCTGTGGTTGGCAGCGCTCAGAGTGCTGGCATGAGTGATCTGAGTCAGCTACTCCGCATGCGCAGCCGTCCGTCCTTAGTTCCTTCTCAACCGCTGCTGACTTCAGTCGCATCTCAGCAGTTGCCTCTTTACCTCACTCTTAAACTACTTCTGTAGATAGACAACAGTTACCACAAAAGTTATTTTATTAGTTGATAGTTATTAGTTCGCATACTTTCGTATGTCAAAAAAACCCCAACTCATTATTTTATTTTTCTTAGAATAGTATATTATGAATAGTCAGGGAATCGAACCCTCGGTGATGACAACACACACCGAAATCTTGCCTTTCTGGGACATGCTGGGCTTGCCCGGTTTTAACAGGTGCGCAGGTTGCAAATTGTCCGTATCTATTTCTAATGGACACAGCCAGTGCGTCCGCTGTCTGGGTGAGGAGTATTCCTATCGAACAGTGCCCTCACTGCAAAAAACTGATATCCTGAACAAGAAAGGCCAGAGAACTACAATTAAAAGATGATTCACTTGGAGAAAAAGACTCGTTCGGCTTCAGACCCCGAGCACACTACTCCCGCAGGCAACCATCCCTTGGGGTGGCATCAGAGAGGGGAGCTACCGCTATGTTGAGCTCAAAGGACTGCAATAAGGCTCATCAGCCAAAAAAGAGCCCCTACTCCTCATCAGGGACAGATTCTCCTCTACACACCAGCACTGCCCCCTACCCTCTTCACTAAAAGGGTCGGACAAGCAGTCTGGTACCGGGTCGGCACTGACAAGGTCCGTGACCCCGAGCAAAATGCTCGTGCCTCATCAAAGGCATTGTGGCATTATCAGCAAAATACACATCATATGCTTTTGATCAATTAGCTATCTTTATTGAATCCCTTCCAGATAACAAAAGGGATCAATTCAAGTCAGATTTAAAGGAAAATGCAGGACAATGTAGCACTTTAAAGACTAACAAGATGGTTTATTAGATGATGAGCTTTCGTGGGCCAGACCCACTTCCTCAGATCAAATAATGGAAGGGTGCAGTAATTTCTAGAACAGCCTTACAGGCCACACTGGATTCCTCTGTCACAGCTGCTAGATCCTTGCCCTCTGTAGTAGTGATGAGGCGAGCATCCTGGCTTCAGCTCTCAGGATTCCCAAGACAGGTGCAGTCAACGGTTGAGGACCTGCTGTTTGACGGGACCAAGCTCTTCGCCTAGTCCACAAATGTCTCCTTAAACACCCTAAAGGACTCACAAGCAACCTTAAAGACTCTGGGCATCCACGCACCTGTTACAAAGAGAAAGCAGGGCAGACCATTTACACAGAGGTACAGATCCACACCCTTTAACCAGCAACAATGCCATTGCGACAGTAGATGATGACTGTGCCAAAACAGGTACAGGCAACTCTCTGAGCAGTCAACATCTCAACAGCCATTAATATCTCGACAAGTATGTTGAAGTCTTGATCAAAGGTCAGACACGCCCGACATTTTTCACTGCAGCAATTTGAACCCTCCAAAACATTTGGCAGCAGACTGGCTGCATTCCATCCAGCCCTGGTGTACCATCACCACCACCAAGTGGGTGCTGGAAATCATAAAAACTGGTTACTGGCTTTTAGTTATCCCTCCCCTTCTACCCTTCTTGTCTGTCCCTCTTCAGGGACCCCTCTCACGAACAGGTGCTCCTACAAGAAAAAGAACACCTCCTCAGGCTGGGAGCCATAGCAGAGGAACCACAGGAGCATAGGGGCAAGGGGGTTCTACTCCCATTACTTCCTCATCAACAGGAAATCAGGAGGGTGGAGGCCTATATTGGACCTTCAAAGGCTCAGCTGCTTTGTACACTACCAATGGTGCAAGATAGTAACCCTTGCTACTATTATTCCTGCCTTAGAAAAGGTAGCATGATTGTCTACCCTCAACCTCCAGGATGCCTACTTTCGTATATCAGTTCACCTGTCACACAGGCACTTTCTTCATTGCTAGGTAAAGGACAAGCCCCTTCAGTACAGAGTGCTGTCTTTCGGACTGTTAACAGCCCCACAAGTGTTCTCAAAGGTTCTGTCAGTAGTAACTGCACACTTATGAAAAAGAAGAATCACTATATTCCCTTAACTAGATGATTGCCTAATAACAGGCACCACAGAGCGACACACAGTCAGCACCATCAGAGTCCTATTCAACAACCTTGGACTCCAGATCAACATACCAAAGTGCATACTGACCCCAACTCAGACATTAGAGTTTATAGGGGTGCAACTAGACTGCACGAAGGCCATAGCCTCTCTACCAGAGCACAGGTTTGCAACAATAAAGGACCTCATATCAATGGCGCAGGCCAGCCCAGTAGTAACAGCTAGACACTGCCTACAAATACTAAGCCACATGGCCGCTGCCACATTCGGGTGCCACATACCTGCCTCCACATGAGACCTCTACAAGGATGGCTTTGCACAGTATACAAGCCACACACCCATCACATAAACAACTCACCATACCTATTAGGATAAAGACCTCCCTCACACCGCGGACCCTAGAGGACAATATATGTGCTGGAGTCCCCTTTCAAAGAACCCTACCATCAGTAATGGTCACTACAGATGCTTTACTAATGGGCTGGGGTGCACACTTGGGCTATCAAGTAGTACAGGTTCAATGGACCAAGCACAATACAGGGAAACACATCAACCTGTTCGAACTCAGGGCAGTAAGACACGCATGCACATACTTCCTCTCCTTCATCCAGGACAGAACAGTTCAGATTCTTATGGACAGTGTAACTACAATGTGCTATATCAATGGACAGGGAGGGTTATACAGGTCATATGAACTTTGCCAAGAAGCAGTCCACTTATGGGAATGGTTCATCCCATGGAATATACACCTTGTCGCAACTTACCTCCCAGGCAAGGACAATACACTAGCAGACTAAGCGGGCAATTCCTGCAAAATCACGAATGGGAAATAAACCCATTGCTGACCTTTTCAAGAAGTGGGGGGTTCCCATTAGTGGACGTATTTGCCACACACAATGCTGTTGCCCACAGTATTGCTCCAGTATTGCACATCTTTATTACACATTCCCCCCGTTTCCACTAATATAACGTGTAATCCTCAAGATCAAACAGGACTAGGCCAGAGTAATTCTCATAGCACCCAACTGGCCCAGATAAACAGGGTATCCATACCTCTTGCAGATAAGCATCGGACCACCAAATCGCTTCCCACCACTCCGAGCTCTGTATACTCAATGCAATGGTCAGCTTCACCATCCCAGCTGTACGCTGCATCTCTAACCGTGGATGTTAACTGGCTAAATACCATGGAGCAGGCCCTCCTGGAACTAGGGCAGCACATCTTCACAAATTCCAGGAGATCTACAACGAGGAAAACATACATACAGAAATGGAAGTACTTTACAACTTGGTGCTCAATCCACAACTACAAGTCAGGCCATGTGCAAATAGTACACATACTATAGTATCTGTTGGACCTGCACAATGCAGGCCTCTCCCTGAGCTCTAAGAGTACATCTCACCTCCATTTCAGCCCTCTATGCCCCACTGCAATCACACTCGGTCTTTATTTACCCAGCTGTCAAAAGATTCCTGTGAGGTCTACAAAACATGTTCCTGCCGCTTAAAGACCCAACACCAGCATGGGATTTAAACCTCGTACTGAGAATGCTCATGGGGAGGCCTTTCAAGCTGTTAGCTACATGCTTTCTATTCCACTTTTCGATGAAGGTTGCCTTGTCTCAATTACTTCTGCAAGATGGGTAGGAGAATTGGGAGCTCTCAGACCCACCATACACAATATTCCACAAAGATAAAGTAGTTTTGAGAACCCATCCTAAATTCATCTCAAAGGTACTTACCTCCTTTCATTGCAATGAACCAATATACTTCCCCGTCTTCTACCCGAAACCACATAAGGACTAAAGGGAGGAGGGCTTCATACCTTGGATGTCCGCAGGGTACTTGCCTTTTACTTACAGCGCACAAAGCCGTTCCGCAAGTCTCCGATTATTCATTTCATCCACAGAGAGGTCACAGGGATTACCCATATCAAAACAAAGACTAAATGGGTATCTAGCTGCATATGCTTGATATATACATTAGCGCAAAAGGAGCTACCTCCCAACATAAGAGCTCACTCCACAAGAGCCATGGCAGCTACAACTGCGTTCCTACGAGGCATTTCAATGGAACACATCAGCAAGGCTGCCACCTGGGCGTCTACATACACATTCATGTGGCATTATGCCATCCGGACATTCGCAGACTCGGAAACGAAATTTGGCTGAACGATACTCTGTCAGTCACTCCGAAGCTCCCGCCTCCTAACACAACCACTGCTTTGTAATCATCTAAGGTGGAACACCCATAGGCACACTCCTCAAAGAAGGGAAGGTTACTCACCTGTGCAGTAACTGGAGTTCTTTGAGATAGTTGTCCCTGTGGGTGCTCCACCACCCAGTCTTCCTCCCCATGACTTTGGACTTGCATGCATCCAGGTCAGAGAAGGAAACGAGGACAGCCAGCTGCGCATGCGGAGTAGGTGACTCAGATTGCCCACGCCAGCACTCTGCGTGTGCTGCCGGCTATGGGCACTGCTAGCACAAATCTCTGATTGGGGTGCAGAGGTGCTGGCATACCTAAGGTGGAGCACCAATGGGAACAACCATCTTGAAGAACTCCAGTTACTGCACAGGTGAGTAACTTCCCTTCCTGACTCATGTAAAAAGACA